GACGGAAAACAAAACTGAGCACTTAGTTCCCAAAACATACATGAGCTGAAAATGATTAAGTTATGGCAAGTGAGATTCAATCCCTGAATGCTGAGTATCTTACTCTGTGTTCTCACGCAACAACACATTGTCACGATGTCTGTGACAGTGGCCATAGGAGCAGCTATAGCGGTGCAGTTTGCATTTATCAAAGCCATGTAAGACCACAGCTGTCCTCGGGGCTTCCCCCTGTGTCCATATTGCTGCCCCCCGGGAGTAATCTGAGGCTAAATAACTTGGCTATGGACTGGTAAGTAGAGAAGGCAGGCTTCAGCGCTAGCTTTCCGGTGCTATGCTTTGATTCACACATTCCTTAAGTTGCGTGGAGTGAGAGGCTACCAAGTGCTAAGCACTGTGGTAGGAATGGTGAGGAGTGGGAAGACTTCTCACCAGTTCCTGTCTTCTTATCCAGTGCGAGAAAACAGACACAGGCTAGGAAGTCTAATAGATCATGGCTCGACCACCACGGTGATGGCCGAGCTGCAGCAACAGTGGGTGCAGGGACTTCATGGTGGGGGCTGAAAGGGCAGAAGGGGACGGCAGTGGTCAGAGCGTGGGATGCTTTGGGAATGTATCTAGGTATCACACAGGCAGCTCTGCCGATTCCCGTCCGTGGGAATTGATGCAGGAAGCCGCAGGCCTGTCTGGCAGCTCCTCTAAGACCCTGGGAGTGAGGGCAGTGGGGTGGAAGAGGTCAGGCTCAGAATGTGCCTTGCAGACAGAGACGACAGCATGTTCATTGAAAGCCCATTTTCTTATCTACTGTGGCACTCGGAACGCACCCATTTATGCTGAAATCTCAATGATGACGGTTCATCTTTCGGTTGGGTGAATACACATTGCACCTGCTGGGGAGCCATGGGCCTAAAGCAGGCCCAGAGGTGGGAGGGACCTGGGTCTGACTTGGGAAGCCAGGTGTTAGCGCTGACTCCCATATCCCAGAAAACCTCTGAGTGCTGAGACAGAACAGAAAGGGCCTTTATTCCTCACCGAGATTCTCTTCCATGGCCCAAGGGATTTCAGAAGCTGTTTCCACCAGGGGTGAGGCTCAGGCTGCTGGCTATGCCTCAGGCTTTCCAGCCACTGGTATGTACTGCAAGCCAGCTCTCGCTGTGGTCTGACCTTCCTGGGGTGGTGGGAGCCGGGCAGCCCCAACGTTCTTCCTCCCTGGTCGAGTGATTTTGCACAGACAGACTCAGTGTGGCCATGTCAGATGCAAAGGCTGGTGCCGAGGGCAAAGACTGACAAGTGCTGCACGGGAATTCCAGGCTCATGAGCAACAGCCTACTGGGTGCTCCTGCAAGCCTGCTTCTTTTCTGTATGAGCTTATCCCCCTGTATCCTTGGGGAGCAGTCTGGGGACCCTCTTCCAGGTACTGCCTCCCTTATGGTTGAGCATAAGCACCAAAACCCCTCACTCACATGTACCGCTTCCCTTCTGTGACGTATACTTCAAGCAGCAGAACCCAGGGCCGACGGCAACTGTAAGAGTTGTTAATGCCGGGAGCTTTCTTTGCTTTTCCCTAGGAGCTTTCAAGATTGTTAACGGGACAGCTGGTCATCCTGCCCAGATGTGTGACCCATTACCTAGCCCTCCCATTCTTCACTCTTGAGTTGGGGTGACTCTTTCCGTGCCTCGAGGGATCAGTTTCTTATTGCTCAGTGATGACAACTGTTCTCTTGGCTGCTCTTTTGGGGAAATGGACCTGAATGTGCTTTGCCAGCTATGGGATGATACATTCTTTAGCTTAGGGCGCTCAGGCCCTGGCACCTCCTGGGGGGTCCTGCTTTCTGGGTGCTGGAGGAGGAAAAGGAAGAAAGAAGGAAGAGAAAGGAGAGCCTGGAAGGGAGAGCTCCCCGGGGGTCTTGAGCACCCTGTCACACTCCCGGCCTCCTGAGACTTGGTACTGTTTCCTGAGTCTCTGGAGCAGGGCGTTGTGTACTGTGAGGAGGGCGTGGCTGAGCTGAACTGAGCCCCGGGACATTGAGGGGACATAGAGGGGAAGAGTGGGAGGGAGTGCCTGGGGCCCACAGTACCTTTCAGAGCACAGGAAGATGTTTTAATCTTTCCTAAAACCATGGGAAGAACAAAGGAATACAATCCACTGCATCAGCAGCACAGTCACAATGTTTGATTTGAATCAATCACTTGTCTTGTGTGTGGGGGTGAAGAGTCTCACCAAGGCAACGGGGCCTGAAGCCCAGGAAAAATAAAATACAGCCCTGGTGGGAGATGGTCAGCATGGGAGCATCTCCATCCACATGGGGCTCTGTGGGTTTTCTCAGCTGACTCAGTTTATTTACGTTCAGCTGATGTGGGGTCCCTTTCTAGTAACAGGGACTCAGTTTCCTTGGGATAAGAACCACTCCATTTTTATAACACTAAAGAGATTGGGGCTCGGTTATCTAGCTATCATCATTGTCACCATCTGTTTATTTTGGTACAGTGTTAGCCCACACAAGAAGCCTCACCATGGTTATGTTGCCTATGATTAGTCAAAAGTGTTATCTCAGAGAATCTCAACTCTCGGTCTGAAAACTGACACACAGCATCTCTCGGTGAGTGACACTGGTGGGCTGAGTGATTCTTTTTATAATGACTCATGTATTGAACTAACATGACTCCTACAGATTGAGTCTACGTTGGCCCCTAAAGGGCTCCAGCAGAAGGCCAGGTCTGGGGCGCTCTGAGGAAATGTTGGAGCTATGAGGAGACAGGGCCTGGTGGAAGGAAGTTAGGTCACTTATGGGCCCCTGAAGGTGATACAGGGCCCCTGCCTTTCCTTTCTCTCCTTTTGCTTCTGGTCTCCATAGAAGACAAGCTGTATTGCCCATGCTTCTGTTGTGAGGTACTGTATCTCTACTAGCCCCAGAGTAACAAGCCGAGTGGCTATGGGCTGACTGAAATCCTGCGTGAAAGTAAACCTTTCTTCCTTTCAGTTGTTTACATCTTGGCTATTCTGAGATTGAAAAGCTGCCTGATGCAATGGCCTTTGGTAGATTCCATCCTTCAAACTTATATTAAAATATTCCTCAACATCTTATACCATGTTTTTCAGTAGTTTACAAACTATGACACTGCTCTGGACTCCACCTCAAACCCAAGACACTTATGTGCAGGCATTTCTCTTTGGAGCCACCTCGGATGTCATCTTGGGTGATGATGTCACAGCAGCAGGACGCCCCTGACCCTCCTTCCCTGCAGTGTGTAGCAGCTCCAGGTCACTTGTGGGTGTCGCACCAGGTTCCATTTCAACAATAGATTCTAATAGCCCAATAAAATGTGTAATCCATTCTTTATAACTGAAAGTTGCGATTCTTTTCCCATAATGATATTGTGGAACATCGACACACCTTCTAGTAAGATGGATCATGGTTTGTATCTTAAGGACTTAAGTATGACATTGTAAATTCTATTTATCCTGTCTAAAAGCTGAATATTGATTATAGTTTTCAGAGGCTGGAAAACTCTGTCCTCCGACAATGCTCTGGGAACTCCACTGGTTAGGAAATCACAGAGAAATTCTATTTCCGACACTGAGGTAGATGCTTCTGTGAAGCTTTCCCCTGACAAGGGGGAGAAGAGGGAGCACCACAATTTCAACTCCTAAAGATGCTGCTTAAGAAATAGGATGTTAGCTCTGACTTCTGATGCAGGCAATTCAAACTCATAAACATTTTCGTAGTGAAGAACCCGATAAAAGCAAATGAAATTGCAAACTGGAGGAGAGGAGAGGACTTAAGTGTGAACACCTGGAATATGGGGACTTTTTCACCTATTAAGAAGCCATCCTGGGGTAGATTACTATGGGTTTCTGCTTTGTAACCCTGGGTGTCAATCATGAGGGCTCAGGGAGCACCTGTACCAATCCCACTTCCTTCAACCCACCTCAAAATCTCAACCTTGCTGTGAGAATTGCAGTCCACCCTGAGATCCTGTAGCTGACTTACTTGACATCTTTGTTCCTGGCAGAACTTGAATGTTCTTCAGGGTTTCTGTGTCTCCTCTGACTTCTTCCCACAGCCCCTGTGTCTCTGAATCTCAGCACTACGGGGCCACTTTTGGGCCAGATAGTTCTTGTGGTGAGAGGTTGTTCTTCTATTGGAGGACACTGGGTTGCATGCGTGGTCTCCAGCCACTGGATACCATTGTCACTCCTCTTCCCAGAGATGCCTCCAAAATGTTACCAAACATTCCCTTGGGGAGCAGGGGGAGGAAGGAGCAAGACTGGCCCTTGTGAGAACTACTGTTCTAATCCATGGGGTCCCCCAGTCTCAGAATGCTACCAGGAGTCACCTGGTCAGCAGGGCTTGAAAAGAAACCTTCATGGGGAACCTGAAAATATGAGGAATTCATATTCTTCACACACGCCCATTTGCAGACAGGATGGAGAGCTTCTGAACCAAGTATGTTTAGTAGTCTTAGAACTTATACAAATGAGAGAGAGAGAGAGAGAGAGAGAGAGAGAGAGAGAGAGAGAGAGAGACACCCCTTTGAAAAACCCCAGCAATTTTATTTCAAATTGGGAAAATCTAGGCGGCTTCAGAGCAAGAACCAATTTCTGTCTCTCCACTGGCTGCAGATCAGAGGCCATCAGAGACCTCTCCCATTTGGTTTTTGTTTTTCTGTTGTTATCACAAACTTGGTGGGAAGCCAAACACTTCTTGGGAATGCCCGGCTCTTAACAGATGTGAAGGTGTCTCTTGCTGGAGAGCGATTCTCAGGGTGACTTAGCTCACAGAGACACTCTGGTTGAAATGAACATGAATCAGAGAGCTTCAGAGGGAAGAGGCTGAGGAAGAGTAAATTCTCTGAAAGCCATGTTTGGAGTTGGCTGGGAGGGAAGACCAAGGGTGGCTTAGGAAGGCCTTCTGCTGTTTTCCAGCAGACAAGAGTTACCAAACTGCCACCTCTTTCCTTCATTTGTAGTTTAGTAACAGAGGGAACAAAACCAGACAATGCAAGGTCTTAAGATTTTATGCTGTAACATCACAGAACATCGTGTTCGCAAGGTATACATCCCCTGGAAGCTGTAAATCCCACTACTGGCCAACCAGGATGGTTGGCAGAGATTCTCAGCCAGTTACTGGTCTTCTGGAAAGTGGAGAGTTGCCTTAGACAGTGTTCAGCTTTCCAAGAAATCTTGGCCAACTCAGTATCCCTGAGATTTTGTTTCTTTATCTGAGAAATGGGTATCATGGAATTTCTCATTAAACTAATGATGAATACAAGGTGCTTTATGAGTGGTAAAACCCAATGATGGATTAATGTCCTTCCAGGGAACCCCCACTTTAAACGCTCTGCTAAGACCAGACTGAGATGGTTTTTGGGCTTCTGGGACACCAGTAAAACAATGGCCCACCGTGCTCATTGACTTCCCTTGTCAAACATCTGTCCTTGAGTGGGCAATTAGGACGATACATTTCAGGTCAAAAGGCAGAGTGATGTATTTTTCATGACTGAGGTTACAATTGTATTTTAGGTTATTATAGACTAAAGACCAGGAAATTAATTGGTGCCCTCTAAAATGCAGAAGAGCAAGAGATTAACCTGATAAATGGTTTCCATTAAAAAATTCCATTTGGTTTCCCAAATTTATCTTGTCTCTTGAGATTTCTAAATGCCACCTTGTCCTTCCCCTGCACTTCCTAGTGTATTCAGCTGCTTTCTGCCTCCCTAGGCTTGGAGAGTGTCAGACGTTCCACACACACAGCAGCGGCTCAATGGAACCAGCGTTAACCCTCGTGTTCCCTAGTTCATCGCTGTTCATGGACACGCCTGTTCTGCCTTTCAGATTCAGTTTCAGGTGACACTCAGAATACAGTATTTGTGGAGATTGAAGAAGAGGCTTTGGGTGAGTTATTTCATTGAGACCATCAAAGAAGGACTCCGGTCAAGGATGGAACAAGCAGGGCAGGAGAAAAGGCTGCTCAGGGCTGTCAGTGCTATGCTGAGGAGAGAGGAGGTCAGTGTTTCCAGACCTTCACTCAGGCACATTTGCAGCTGGATGACCCGCCGAACCAGCAGAGACAAAAGGGTGGGCTCTATCCTAGTTGTACAGAAAGACAGACACATGGACGCCAACTTTTCTGAAATGAATACCAAACCAATTGCAAACAGAGCAGAGCCCGTCACTACATTATCACGCTAAGTTCATATTTCTCTTGTTTGTCTTCCGGCTGCTCTGCACTGAAGTTCTGTTCAGGCTCCGGGTGGTGGATTTCAATAAGAAGCACATAGACAAGACCTCCAAGGGCACCCCCGACCAAAGGGCCCACCACGGGGATCCACCAGAAGTGATGTCCGGCTCTGAAACCAAACAAGACGTTAGTGGCACAGATCTTGGCCTTCCTCTTGGGATTTTTACCTTGTAATTCACTACCCAGCAGGTCTCTGTCATGTACACAGCACCCTTCTAACTCAGAAAAGCTCAGGCATTGCCCTTCCTTTATCCTGAAATAAGCATAAGCCTGAATGGAAAGAAGGAGCTTGGGATGGGGGAAGATTTCGAGGCACCACTGATGGGGCAGAAATCAGAATAAATAAAGATGTGCTCTGAGAAGGCTCTGGGGCCACGATCCAAACTTCTCTCCAGAAATCTTCCAGGTCTGCATGTTCTAGTAAAGGCATTGCGAGAAAGCAAGTGGCCTTGCAAACTGTCACCGTATTTTTTTGAAAAGAAGAAATCGATTCAAATAACTGCCCAGAAAGGACCAGCCAGAAGCTCCCAGCTTGGTGGAGGATATAAGTACTTGCAGCAGAACTATATTTTAAGAGCAAGGAAAATCGTAAACACTGGAAAGCAGAGTGAGAGCTGGAAGGCAGGAGCAGGGGCAGGGGAGGCACGTGAGGACGCACGTGCAGAAGTCACCGCGTTCCGGCTGGGTTCTAACGTCTCAACTGGAAATAGCAGAGAGCACTTTGATGCTGGAATGATTTTGATCATCATGCCTGACAATGACAGACCAATCCAGCGGCCTTTTGTTTATATCAGAATTGGTTAGAAAAGATAATAAAAGAAACCTGCAGAAGTCAATAACTTGCCCTGGGCTCCTTCAGAGGAGGTCTTGGGGCTAATCCCTCTCTCTGAGGTCTGGATTCTCCAGCTACATAACTGCTTTCTCCCCCAGGGGATGGGAACTCTCAGACCTTATCACCACTCCTGGCTCAAGGCTGGCCTGTAACTGTGCAGAGCAGCCACCAGATGTCAGTCTTGCTGTATGGCAGAGGGCACTACACTGCTGTGCTCACCCAGCCCTCAGCAGTCCTGGAGGGGCACAGAGGCGCTTGGGACTTCTGTCTCCTGGGCCTGCAGAGCTGGAAGACGGCTCTGGTGGTGTCACTTCCTTTAAAGGTGGTCTCCTCTCTGTTATTTAACAGAGTAAGGGCCAAGCTATCTGCCAGGGTGCGTGACCACATACCCTGGGCCAGGGCCTCGAGCCCAGAGTGGATAGTCACCACAAGTGGTGGTCACTGGCCTGACTCTGTCTTCCAGGCGCACAGGGTAGTGGCTGTTCATGCACTGTGGCTTAGGGGCTGCCAGGAACACGCCTGACACTGCCCAAGAGACCGTCTTTACGAGCTCGTTATTTGGAGTAAAGTATTTTTAAAATTTCCTAACATTCCAGAGGTCTTTTACCTATTAAATCGTTAACATCCTAACTAGAAGAAACAGAAAGAACTCTGATTGCCAGTGTCTTGATCTCCAAGCGCAAGGTAGGAGTTGGCCCTGTGTGTTGGCTCTCGCCCTGTCTGGCCCTCTGGCTGCCATCACCCTGCCAGCTTCCCCTCCGGCCCCTCAAGGGCAGCTTGGGCTATGTCTCTGCAGCTAGAGTGGGGCTGAGGCCTGGGGGCCAGGGCTGGACTAGGAGATTTGAGGTGCTCACACCTTGGATTGAGCTCTGGAAGGACAGGACACTCTGGGGACCCTGAAGAGGCCTGCTGCCCCTCTGAGTTTTGAGGGAATGTTTTTGGGTGAAGATGAGCAGCCGCCCTAGCTCTTCCCCAGTGAGTTTCTGCCCCTCTATTTTATCCTTTTTCAGCCCATCTTGTCTGTGTTGCCTGGTTCCTTGTGCTGCGCTGACATCCTGAACATGCAAGGTTCCGCCTCCAATGCTTTGCTGCTCTCCTTCACCTCAGAACACGGAGGAGGAAACCCCAGAATTCTCATCTTGGAGATGACATTTTCTGCGACCTGGTGGTCTCTCCTTTCTAGCCTTCTTCAGTCATATAATGCAAGATCACTTGTAGATCACTTGAATCAGGTTCCTCTAACCAGAACTATCCTTTCTTGTCCATGGGAGCACATCCGAGGACTTCCAGGTGCCCCTGCCCTCCCTGGGAATTCCTGGCCCCACCCTGATGACCAGGTGTCCCTCCTTCTCCCCGCCCATGACTCTCCCTTACCTGAAGACATCGAATCCCCACCCGGCCAAGGCAGTGAAAAGCCTGGGGCTTAGGTCTCTGGCAGGGTTCATGGCACAGCCACTGTTCAGCCCCAAGGAAGAAGAGAGGACGATAATCAGCAGCCCAATGACAACGGGCTCCAGGCCTTTGGGGACCCCCAAGTTTCTGGAGTCAAAGATGGCAAAGACCATCATGAGGAGGAACATGGTGGACATTACCTGGAGGGAGAAGATGTGCGGAGACTTAGCTTGCACTCCACTTTCACGCCCATTTCTGGGCTCACACTTCCTTTTCAAAAATAAATCCAGCAATACTGTCATCCACTCGGTGAGCACTTAACCTTTTTCTGCACCATTCCCTAAATAAACGCTAAAAGAAGGATTCTTCCTTCACAGATCGGTTATCTGCCCAAGGTGGAGCATGTGGCCGGAGGCGGCAAATCTGAACCCAAAGCCCTTGATCCTTTGTTTGAACTCCTGGGAAGGGCTGCCGAGCTGCCACCCCGTGAAGCAGAAAGGCAAGCACAGGCTGGCAAGGTGAACAGAGAGAAAAACAGCCAGCGGTGGCCATCGATGCCCACGCAGAGGAAGTGGGCACAAAATTCATACAAGAGAAACTGGACGAGAAAGCAAATGGGAAAGTGATACAAGCAATATCACACACTAGGGGGAGAAGGCCAGGTCTTCCAGGAGTTCCTATAGAATTGAGGATGTGCTGTACTCCGGGAAGGACAGTCAACAACAAACTGGCAATATGCTTACATTTAAAAACATGCACTGATAATCAGACGCTGTTGGGTATTTGAGAATTCTACCGTGGAAATATTCTAAGTCATGGAGAATTATAAAACTCTTCAGCACCCACTGGAAAGGCCCGAGCTGACTGTGTTGGCACACCCAGCTCCTCCGTTACATAACCATCAAGAACACCATGATAGCATAAAGTGTTTATGATGTTAAATTAAAAATCACATGGGCCTTGTTTTATATTTAAAGATGCATAAATGAAAAATTATAAGAGAGTTTACGGAAATGACAGCAACTGTTCTGAAATGGTGGGTTAGAGCTGGTATTTCCCCCTTCCTTTTTAAAACACATTTTCTAAACTATTTACTGTACTCTAAGAGCTAAGTGCTAGCTATTATGTCCCGAGCGTTCCTTATGCTTCGTAGGGGCTCACGATTGGCACATTCTGTCTCCTTTGGTCCTGGTACTTCACATGCCTTGTCCAATTAAGCCTCATAATAACCCTGTGATGCCAGCCCTGTTTTCCTCAGATCACGGATAAAGACTCTTGAGTAGAAGAAGCTAAGACACTGGCTTGGCGGCATGCTGCTCAGGGGCAGAAGAATCAGATGGGAACTAGGAAAGTGGTTTTGTAGAGTCTAAGCGCTGTAGAATTTAAGCAGTTTTCCAAATAATGAGTTAGAAGACTCTGGCTTCAAAGGGACAGAAGGTTCTCCCAGAGCACGGGTTCTCTAGAAGCCCCTCCTGGCTCTCTTCCTCGCAGAAGTGCCTGCCTCTGAGCTCCACTATGTGGGGCCTTTGCTTCTGTTGTTGCCCTTATGCTTTGCAAAAGGGTGACCTGCTCGTTTGCTCTACTGGGTCGCTAAGCCTGAGCAGCTTGAAGCAGTGCCTACCTCGCAAAATGCCTAATAGATATTTATTGGCTAAAAGGATGATTGACTATTGATTAAATTTTGAAATAATATTGAAAGCCAAACAATAATTTTGACGTAAGGTGGCCCAAGAATATCATCATGATAGACAACGGCTCTGCTGGGTGCTGGCAGACTGGTCCTCGGCATTTGTTACACAGAATAGCTGCCTTTGAGAAGCTGGCAAGTCTCTCCAAGATAAGAACAGAGTGGCCAGAAGTGTGGGGATGGACTTGGACAAGCCTAGGGAGGCTGGACATCCACCCACTGGACACGGAGCTGTTTCCTGTGACCAAGGTATTTGGCGAAACATCTTGAGCCTAGCAATTGGGAGAGGGTGAGGAATTCTACAAGGTTCCACTAGAACAACAAAAGAGGGCAGGAAGTGAAGAGAGGGAGGAACGGAGGGTTGAACAATCTCTGCGTGTTGTATGCCTGCTCTGTTCACTGGAAATGTTGATGCCACTTCTCTGCAGACTGAACTGGGCCTAATCTCCCTGGGGCAGTGCTTAATTCTGAGGTAGGCTTGTACCACTCCCTTGTCCTTGGGGTGGCCTCAGGTCAGGGAGGCCTCTGGGGTCCTGGACGTCCCCCCAGGGGTAAGGGAAAGGCTGTGGAATGGAGAAAGCATGGCTCCAGGGCTGTGTGAGGATGGGCTGGCTCCAGGACAAATTCTGAGTGGTTTAAGAAGCCAAGGAAGTGGCTTCGTAGTCCCAAAGAGCGGGGAAGACAAAAGGCCTTTGTGATGGCAGTCAGGGTTTGAGGAAATCAGCAGAAGCCTTTGTCTCTTGCCTCCAGAGAAATGACCTAAAATCACAGAACCCTCCAAAAGTCCTCATCCAGCCCTCCACTCCACTGCTAGCTTCTTCTTCCTAAGAGAAATTTGGCCTGAACTGACTAGGGTTCATCAAGAAACCCGCCCTTGGGCTGGGGACTTAGTTCAGTGGCATAAGCACCTGCCTTGCGAGTGCACAGTCATGATTTCGATCCCTGGTACCAAAAAATCAAAAAATTTAAAAAAAAATAAAAATAAAAGAAACCTGCCCTGGAAATCCATTTGGAGGCTCGGCAGACAGCTGGCTTATGGAGCTGGGTCTTGACGGTCCTTCCTGACTCTGCCCATGAGAATAGACTGCCACTCTGAAGCTCAGAGGAGAAGTCTTGGTGCCCCCTCTCCTATAGACACTGACTCCAGAGACAACCATTCCGCCTTAGGCGAGTCCTTCCCTCACTTATTCCTCTCGCTCCTAAGGAGTCCTAAGATTGTAAAACCACTCATGACCCTTCAGATGGCTACAATTTTCCCTCCTTAGAAAACTTCGATTTCGGGCCAGCTATAAGCCAGTGGACTTCCCTCCAGCTCCACTATCCTGGGGAGACGTGGTCTGTATTTAACTTATTTTCTAGAATGGTCTTCCTTTCACTGAATGTAACTATTTTATCATAATTTCACTCATTTATGGACTCACACACTCATTAAGACACATTTTTTGATCCTCATTGGTACAACCCTAACTTAGCATGTGTGAGGTCCTGGGTTCAATTCCCAGCACCATAGAAACACAAAATATTTTTTTTGAGCACCTCTTGTGTGCTAGGCATTGTGTTTCAGCCAATCGCCTTAGGGATAGGAGGGTAACCTACTTTCACTTGATGTCCTTTCAGTATTTTTATTTGTATTTTATCTTTCTGTGACAGGGTCTCGATATGCAGTTCAGATTGGCCCTGAGCTCTCTTTGTAGCCTAGGCTGGTCTCAAACTTGCAAATATCCTTTTGTCTCAGCCTCCCAAATGCTGGGATAACAGGCATGAGCCACCCCACCCTGCTTGTCACTCTGAAAGTTTCATGTTTCATTTCTTTCCCTCCCTTTGCATTGAAACCCAAAGACACCTTATCTAGACCAATGCCAGGCTGTCCACTCGCCATCCGTGTGATATCACTGTGATATCACTGTGTTTCTGCCCCTTGTCCCTCAGTAGCACGGTCCTAAATGGCCTCAGATTCTCTGGATAGAGAAGGATAACACCCTGTCACTAGTCATCTTCTCTTCTCTGGACCTCAAGTGATATGGAACAGCTTTTCGTGTTAAAGAGGAAGCAGGAACCCTTTCTAGAGGTATTAACTTTTGCAAGGGCCAAAGATTGTCAAGTGTGTTTCTCTCTGGTGACTTCTTGTTTTGGGAAACACAGCTTTTCCTTCCTAAGTGGTCCGTCCCTCTCTATCTCATTCCCATGTTTGGTCCTGTATTTTCACTAAGGGATGTCCTCGTGGGATCCACACTTACTTGGTCTGCGAACACATTCGCCAGAGACAGGTAAGGAGCTGGGTACGTGGCGAAGATGTGTGCTGTTGCATTCTCTCCTGTGATGAGCAGTTTCCCACCCGCAAAGGCCATGAGTCTGTCTGTGGAGGACAGAGTTCGGTCACATCAGTGTTCTCTGGAAGGGCAGAGGGCAGCCCGCACGAGGCCGGGTACTAACCCATGGCAGTCACCCAGGCTGAGCTGCCACATCCCTATCACCAGTTTCTTGGGGTGGCACGTTCAGTGGCCTTAGGAATGCCCAGGGCACCCTGGGAAGGTGCATCAAGGGAAGAGAGCCCTTGGCAGCCCTGGCTGCTCACCCCAAACTTGGACCAAATCCTGAGTGAGTGGATGCAAACCAATCCTCTTCCAGCAGAGTTCTTGGAATTTTGGAGACTAACATAAGGCCAATATGGGGCTCAGACCTGTTCCAGGGAGAGTTTACAGTTCCTACAGGGTTCCCAGTGGCCCTCAGCAGCATATCTAATCTCGAAGGTGTCACGGCCTAGTGAGAGCTGGGGAATGGTCCACAGACCCCTTAGCCTAGGAGGATAGTAGCCAACAAGCCAGCACCAGCCCCAGGCCAATATCAGCCAGTTCTGAATTTCTGGCCGGGCCTTCAGTTCCCTGGGGGTCTCCTTGGGACTTTAAATCCCAGAGAGGTTAACTACAAGGCAGATGAGCCTTGGTTCATCAGCTCTTGCTCCCAAGGCGCTCTTTTGAGTGTTGCAAGGTACTGAGCTCCCCATGGGTTTGGTGGAAGGAACCCCAAGATTTCCTAGTCTAAAGGTTTGGGAGTCATCTAGCTCAGTCCCCTCTTTTTCTAGAGGAGGAAACTGAGGGAAGTCAGGCCAGAGGACTCATTTCAGTCACACAGCCTCTGACGGACCCAGCCGGAACTGGAGTCTGGGCCTTTGTTCCCAGCTGTGTTTTCCCTGGGGACAGCTACAGAACGGAAGCACCGGCTGCTTGGTAGAAGGGGCTCGAGGCCCCCATCAGCCCATTTCTCTGCTACGTTTCCTCCTCCTCCAAAGACATTTCCCAGAGTCCTCCTCCAAATACTTCCAGCTCATATCCTGGGCCTCCAGATGGCACCCTTTTCTTGGCCAAGCCAGAGGGAAGGGAGGAGACTCCAGCCTGCTACTTCCTTTGTGTCCCTGCACACACATACTGCACATACAGTCTGCATAACACGGCTTGGCTTACAGCGCGCCTCCCCACTTCTGATGTCATCATCTTCCTTAAGAGGCTCCATAAATTTGCCCTAATGACAATGTTGGCCTCATCGTCTTCCATTTAGAATTTCTCATCAATTACTGAACATTTCCAGTATTTGCTGTCTCTCGCCTCTTCCTACCAAATAACTGTGACTTTCCGGTGTCACCCAGCGCCCTATGACCCTCGAATCCAGGCTTCCTACTCACCATAGTAAATGCCAAAGAGGACTGCAGATCCTGCGAAGGCCCCCAAAAACTGGGCTCCCACATAGAAGGGCAGTTTGTACCACGTCATCCTCCCAAAGAGACACATTGCGAAGGACACAGCTGGGTTGATGTGGCCACCTACAGGGAGGAAAAAATGGGTGGGGACATCAGAGGAAAAACCAGCAAGGAGAGAACTCACAAGAAAACCCTGCGGAGAGACCTCAGCTAGAAGTCAGTCTGCTAGGTAGAGAATGCTAAATAGAGAACTAGGAGAGAGAGAGAGAGAGAGAGAGAGAGAGAGACAGAGAGAGAGACAGAGAGAGAGAGAGAGAGAGAGAGACAGAGACAGAGACAGAGAGACAGAGACAGAGACACAGTGTTTGGGAGAGAGGACATCACCCTGTGACATCACCAAATACTGCTTAGAATGTTTGTCCTTATGAAAACGAATGTTTGTCCTTATTCCAGATGTAATACGGAACTCGATGTGCTGAAATAGCTCATTTTTATGGGCTTCTATCTATCGATAAAGCAATAAGCCCATACAGATTGATGCAAACTATTAATGTCAATATATTTTTAAAAATCAATATACTCACACAATGTACGGATGAGGTTTAAATCGATATTAGTGCTTCCTGTGTCCATGCCCAGAGGCTATAAAAGCAGCCCTAACCCTGATGGCTCTCGAAGGGGATCAGCCTCTGGATGGATGCTTTCGACTGGTCCCTGAAGTAAGGGGCCTTGTTTATTTTGAGGCAATCTGGGGTGGATTCTCCTCCTCTGCTGCTCCATAGAAAGTGTGTTTCTCTGAGACAACTTGAGTGAAATTAGCTCTTGACTTGCATTTTCTCAGAAGAGCAGAGGGAAGATTTGCGCAGAATAACCACACTTACTGAACACGTACTGTGTGCATTCGCTGCCCCTGAGGCCCCAGCGAGAGGGGCACTGCTCCACTGGGCAGGCGAGGAAACCAAGAAACAGAGCAAAGTGACTTTGTCCCGCTCAGTGGCCAGCGGGACAGGACCAGGATCACAGGATCACAGCCCAGGTTCCGGAAACTCCAGAGTCATGTCCCGTTATCCAATGTCACATGTCCCCATGTCCCACATATCCGCATGTCACAAAGGCCCCTTTGCTTTACTGAGTGAGGGGAGAAAAATATAAAAAGTTACTCTGAGCCCATGGACTCACTTTGTGTGCGGGGAAACATGCTGTCTTAGGAACCCAGGGGACCTTTCATGCAGAAGAAGCATCAGAGCTGTAGTCACAGTGATCACACTGAAAAGTGCACTTTCAGGCAGTGGGCATAGCTGCCCATGCGGGGGCACTGGACAGGTATTCAAGGTAAAATATTGGGAGCAGCAGTCAGAGGCCTGCGATAGCTCTGAGATCCCCAGAGAGGAGAAGCTGTTTAGGTCCAAAGGGGTGACAGAAGGGTTCAGAAAGGGAGGGGCCAGTGGTGTCCATGCCCTGAGGCTGGGTGCCAAGTGGCTGCTGGAAAGTTCTCCTGGGTTTACCACCAGGACCCAGCAGGACAGCAGTGGAAAGGACTTGAGTGCTGGCGTATGAGAGCCTTGTACTGAAACCCTGGCCCTGCGAAGATTGGAGTGATGATCAGAATGAGCCCAGGCTGCAGCTGGGTGCAGGAGGCATAAGGTGAGTGGAGGGAACTCTTTCCCGGCTGTGCACTAAGCAAATACCTCCTCCCCACCCGTCCCTAGACAAGTCTGTGAGACAGAGGTCTTGCACTGTACTTGCCCGTAAGCATGGCTACTTTGCTTTTTCAATGACTTCATGTCAGTCATAAATCCTACAGCAAGAGTAACTAGCGGCCAGCAGCCCATACCCAGTAGCAGGTGGTGCTCTGCGAGATGTTCTGAGTTCTGCTTGGTGGGCTTTGGTTGGCACATTCACAGAGGAGCAGGCTGCTGTAACTGCTCTACATGAAGGTGATGTCGTGTATTTAGAAGCCACACGGCAGCTGACCCGACCAGCGTGCAGTCATTGGGTGAGTCACATTTGTAGCTATGCTTCGTATTCTTCAGATATTTTTGGAGTCCTTTAAGAGGGCCTCGCAGGAGGCTGTAAAGCAATGTGTCAGCTGCAGCTGCCATGAAGAGGCCGCCTCCTGTCCCTGCAGCTGCAGACGCCTGCACTGAGGCTGCCAGGTGGGGCCCACACTTGTCCCTGTGTGTCCCTGGAACATCAGTCTTGAGGGATCCGGAATGTGCTAGGTTCTAGAGAGGGTGCTGGTTTCCTCAATTCTGTTCAGACCAGGCTCCATTTGTACTTGAGGTCTCTCAGTCTGTCCTAAACAACCAGATCAGGTCCCGATCCCTTTCTTAGAAATGCAGTCCTGACTCTGACCCCTTTTTCCACTGTGGTTTGATTCTTGCTCCAGAACCAGAGGAGAGGCCTCCCTGCCCCCTCATCTTACCTTTCTCACGGGCCATGGCTCATTTTCCTCCTATGATGCCTCCCACATTTCCAAGCACAGCAATGGATTCAAACAGACACTGCCCTCAGCGATGGCGAGGGTAACTCCACGGGCAGAGCCTAGAGAACTCTTGGAGGAGCTTCAGTCCAAGGAGTTCTGCAAACTGTAGCTCCCTAGCACAGAGCTGACAATAGCCCAACCCACCCTGCAGGAGCCAGTGAATATGGTGGAGACTCGCAGGGGAGAGCGGTGGGTCACCTTCGTGCTCAGTTTGGGCTGAGAGCAGCTCTTGCCTGGCGTCCAGGCCTGTGCCATCTCCAGCCCCAGCCTCATTGCTGCAGTCCTGAGTGCTCTAGGCTCTGCTAGTGTGGTGGGGAATCACAGCACAAGCTCAGTGAGAGCCTGGATGTAGACACTGCTCATGCCCAATGCATGCACACATGCACACGCATGTGCCCGTGCACATACACACACACACACACCCACACACACACACACACACACACACACACACAGTGACTGGACCACCCCAGAGCCTGTGTCTGGCTGTAATATGGAAAGGATGCTACCAGCCAACCACCATGCAGGGGTCCCACCCAAGGCTCCAGGGGTCCAGGCGATCAGTCTGGGATACTTGAATGCAGCATCTGTCACAGTGCCAGATACCTTAATGGCAGGAACCCCAGCTGGGGTCACTTTGTCCATAATAGACCCCTGGAAATGCTACAGAAGAATGTGAGCTTTCCTGGCGAGTAGACCTGGGTCAGCTCTTTGCTCTGTCTCTTTGCCTCTTACAGGGCTTCCTGGGGCTCCCATGGCCCTACTTCTCCCTGTAGAACAAGACACTGTGGAGCGCTGCTGTGAAGGAGAAGAAAAACTAAAGCTGTCCAGGGCCCTGCACAGTGCCCAGGATGCCGCAGCTTCCCGGATGCCGGCACTGTCCCCGGGGTCCAGTGGCTCCCTGGTTCCCTTTGCTCTCTGTTGCCACAGCCTCGCATCCGGGCTCACCTACACTGGGCTGCTCGGAGTGCCTTCTGCAGTCTCAGGTTACTCTCTGTTTTGGTTCACTTTGCTCCTCAGAGCCTTGCGAATGGTTTCTAATCAGCCTGCAAGGGCAGAATTAGATGACGACTTTCTAGATCACATCAGTTGCCACAAAAGCAATGTCCCTTCTGCAGGAGCCCCAAACCCTGTCTAACAGCTCTGGATAAATGTCCAGCAGCTTGTCTCTGTCGGCCTGATCTTCGATGGTCTCATCGATGGGCTGGGAGATGACTTCCAGAGCACGAAAGACCACACTGACTGTGGAAGACTGTGATGGAGAGGCCAGGCTTAGGGGCAAATCCAAGGTGAGCACCAACCCCCACCTCTGTCTCTTGCTAAATGTTGCTTTTACACAATCACTCACCTTCTGTTTGCCTTGTTGTCACCTATACACATGGGGTCAAATGCATTTTCTTGCAAAATTGATAATCAACATAAACGAAGGTATGCGAAGTACGCAGCACCATGCTAGCATGGTGGAATCATTTCTAGCAGCTGTTACCATATCTTCTGCTTACCAGAGACACCTCCAGTTGCATAAATGGCCATTGCTGCGGACATTGCAAATCCCACATTGATAGTGATGATGCTTCCAAAAATTCCTCGGCTGAGGACAGCTTGGGCCACGCAGCCACATCCCAGGACCTGGAAGGAGAGGAGAGGAAGGAGGTGGGTGTGGCTGCTGTTGAAAAGCACAGAAACTCACATAAAAAAACTACTTTTAAAGCAAGGTTGTGGGTTGGGATCGTGGGGCTCTAACACATCAAATTGTAATCCTCCAGCTAAGCACAGAGGGCTGGAATGGGGCCCAGCCCACATGTGGCCCACAGATGAGCTTTGCTGCCTGCACGGTGTGGGTGTGATGATGTCTACATCTGTAAATTATGTTGTTTCACACGGTGATCTAGACTTCTGGCTTTCCCGAGTTAAGCCTTCAATTCTGAGAGAATTGTAGTTCCCCATGAGCTTGTAAGAAACAACACAGAAAGACCCATCTGTCTTTTACCCACCTATTCTCATTTGTCTACCAGAAGATGTGGCTGCCCTTCCCATCCCTGGACATGGAATCAGCATTCAGAAAGGTTTGGGATAAATATATTATGGTATGTCCATTCAGTAAATCGCTAGATAGTGATAAAACAGAGTGATGGAGATCCTTGTGTCACAAAGGGGAGAAGGCATCATATTATATCATCAAAAGTTAAAAAACAGATGCAGAGTAGTGTTTAAACATAATTATACTAAAATACATGATGTATTTGTTTTTACATACACGGGCTCTTTCCTTGAAAGTAGCAGGAAAGGGGCTAACACCTATTGGTGAAGTTGGGTGTGGTAGCAGATACTTTTAATCCACGCACTCAGGAGGCTGAGGCAGGAAGCTCACTGTAAGTTTCAGGCCTGTCTGTGCTGCATAATGAATTCAAGTCCAGCCTGAACTACACAGCAAGACCCCATCTCAAAAAAAACAACAACTCCTCTCTCCCTGCCACCCCAAAAAACCTGTTGGTGAGCTAGAAAGGGAGCTGCACTGGGATGGGTATTGAAAAAACATTTTTTACTGCCCTACTCCATCTTCAGCCATATGTTTCCTCATTTTTTAAAAAAAGGCTCATACACATTCATTGAATAATCAGTTAAAACTAATTGCAGCTCTTTGAAGGAACATTTCATGAAGAGGAGTTTGTGGGAAACACAGAATTCAAGTTTGGTTGGAAAATAAGGCAATAAATGACCACCAGTGACCACCAGGGTGTCGCTGAGAAGGCCACCTCGGCTATGAAGACAGAATTCAGATTAGCAGGATCGTAGAGTGATGGCTTTTATGCTGGCCAAGCTGCTTGTTGAATGTAGAGTCCAGTGTAGATTTCCTAACCAAAGAACAACTGCACAAGCTACTTCCATAGGGGCTGTATTGCAAGATCCTCTGTGGACACCTGAAGCCAGGGAAAAACCCACGTGGGTATTGGCCCTGTGCATACATACCTGCTATAGTTTGGATGTTAACTCTCCCAGGTTCCCCTGTGTCATGCCTTCCTATCTCTCTTTGCCTCTGGCCACGAGGTGAGCATTTCTTCTATCTGGGCTCCCACTGTGATAAACTGGCTTGCCACAGGCCCGGACAAGGGTGCCCACTGCTCAGGGACTGGACCCTCCGAAACCATGAGCCAAGTAGAACTTTTCTCTTTGTAAGTTAATTTATCCTGAAATTTGTTGCAGTGACAGAAATCTCTCTCTCTCTCTCTCTCTCTCTCTCTCTCTCTCTCTCTCTCTCTCTCCCTCCCCCTCCCTATAATATCTTCTACTGTGCTCACTCTTACTGTTGATTGCAGGAACTGAAACTGGAGATCAATGCCACTTCTTGAAGGAGGGCTCAATAGCCAATACTAAGTATGCTTTAATGGCAGGGAAATGGAAGACACGAGGAAACACTTCAGAGCCAAGTGCCTTTAGGAAGTTGAGATTAATAATGTGAAGGCGGTGGATCAAGAAGATCATAACCCTCTGCTGTGTTCCTCCCAGGGAATGAAAGAAAAGGGCCAGAACCGCAGCAGGAAGACCATGCACGATTCAGTGGTCCTGACGGGTTGGCCCTAACCGGCCCCCATGGAGCTCACAGTGAGGTCCCGCGGAGGAGTATCACTAAATACACACAGTGTGATTTCCCCTAGCTCTCCTTAGAAACAGAGGCAGGGGCACCCCGCTGATCTTTGGCTGTCCCATCTGCCCCTAGCTCTGAAACGAATCCACCTGTCCACCTTCTGCCTGCTGCACTGTGGGGGACACAGCCATGGGGCCTCCTGGGGGAAGCCCTGAGTCTGTGTGGCCCCTTCTCATGGCCACCTTTGGATTTCCTCGTTCTGCTCTGGGCACTGCACTGAGCATTCGATAAAGTTGTGGCAGGAACATATTCTCTTTCCCTTCTTAAAAATTCCTCTGTGTCCATGTCACAGTCTGTCTCATCTACATTTGGCATTATTTTTGTTTTTGACATTATCTTTCTAGAATCCCTGTCTGTGGGGCTGGAGATTTAGCTCAGCAGGATAAGCACCTGCCTTGCAAGTGTGAGGTCTTGAGTTCGATTCCTGGTACTGATAATAGAAAAAAAGTGTAGTAGAATCCCTGTTAGAGAAACTGTCAGAATTAAAACCACATTGGTGTCTTTCTTTCACATTTAAAGCTAATCAAAGGCTCTGGGCCCCAGGGCTGGGGTCGCACAGTGGTAGAGAGCTTGCTAAGCATGCATGAATGGGGAAAAAAGTAGCTCTGGGCACGACATCCAACTAAGACTTTGGTGTCTCCTGCAAAGAAGGTGAACCAGTAGGGACAGCTGAGGTCATGTGACCTGGACAGGTGGGAGGCAGAGTGCCTGGAGGAGGCTGACCCTCAGGCGGAGCCATCCCTCTGTGAGGTCACAGCGCCTGGCTCTTCTGCCTTCTGGAGGGAGTGGAAGAGCTTCAGACATGAGCCCAGGAGGTGTCGGCCCCGAATCTCACTGTGGTTAATCCCCACTCCTCCTGCTCAGTGCTGGAGTTGCTTTCATGGAAAGATGATGGATGCAGTGTGCCGTGAGAGAGGAGAGGTGCGGAGAGGAGCTCCGTCCTCCTCTCCGACACAGCAGCCCGATCTGCATCACTGCAAGTTCTTCTTAGAACCCATTTACTGCAGCCTGAGAGTGGTGAGACAGTTGATGTACTTCACCTGGTAACAGGCTCTACATCAGCTCCTGACACTGCTTTCGGTCTTCGTGCCCCTTATTTCAGAGTCCCTTCCACCCATGCCGCTCCCGTACCGCTTCGGTAAACCAACAAGCCAACCCCTGCCAAAACCAGTGAAAAACTAAAGTCGTCAGAAAGCTTCTTTGAAAATGGGGGACAGACTCAATGATGGGACAGCAGGAAACGCTAAGAGCCAGCAAAAAGAAAACTGCATTTAAACAAAATTACTGAGTCCTACGTAGACGATGGGCTCCATTGCCAGTGATAACTCACGCTCTCCAAGCCCGCTCTGCATAGTATGTGAAGACTGCTATCCGACAACACCCAGACTCTCAAAACTACTTTGCCACAAGGAAGCTAAGCACTTGCATGAAAAGACAGATTTTTCCCCCCAAACAGACAAAATGAGCGTTAAAAGCACCCTTCTTAGCAGCTCCCCACAGCGCTAAGGCTGAGAGCTTCTCACCATTGCTCAGCTTCTCACCCTGCCTGCTACAGACACAGTGTCAGTCAGCTTCTAGGGAGGCTGCCATTAAAAGGTGGTGTGTGTTCCTCTCTGGGCAACACCTTAACTAGGCGAACTGATGAAACAGCAGAGGCTGTGGAGGCACATTTGTTAGAGGGTTAATGAGTCGCCACAGTATAAAATCCAGGCTGAATACTCTGCCGGTGTTGACAGTGATGTTGTGATTGTGTGATGTGTTATTCATAAGGATGTGTGTGAGGACATGCTATGTATACTTTTGTTGCCAGCCAACACCATCGCCGCAGAACTGTTCATGTCTTTGACTGACTACATAGCAAGAAAACAGAACTGGCCGCTTCCTCTCATTGTAGGAACAGAGCAGCTGCCGTGTCTAGACGGCTTTGTGGTTTCACTTCTCAGGTCCAAAAAGGTCACTTCCGGATGTCACTTCTATGCACTATGTCACCCATCGGCAAATGCTGGCTGGCTGAAAAACGTCACCCTCACTTAACGTTTTGCAGGATGTGATTAAATGCACACCTCAATTTGCACGTGTATGCACAGCTCTGTGGGAGATAGACTCAGAACACACCTGTCTTCTCATACATGGAAGTAAGCTGGCTTCAAAAGTAGATCACTACCTAGAGTTTTGTTTTCATCTATCAGAACCACTTGGGATCCTTTTAGAAGACACCCCTGGCAGCACAGCTCAGTGGCACAGAGTGAGTTGCAAAACACGCTTGCTTGTGTGACATATTTGATCTACTGCACGAACGCTATCCTATCTGCCATTTCAGGGGAGAGTAACAGTGTTCAAGCCGGCAGATAAAGTGGCTGCCTTCAAAATCAAACTGAAGTTATGGGGCTGAGAAGTGGAAATTGGGAACTTAGATGTGTCTCAAACATTAGCAGAGATTTTGAAGTCAGGGCTTGCTTCCTCCCAGCTGATGCACTATCACCTGCCTCAGTGTTCAAAACAGTTTGAGTGTTTCTTTCCAATGACAACAGACCCTGGCCCATGACTCATTTGTGAATAAACAAGATGAACTGACTTTATGTGTGCTAGAAGAGGGTCAGCTGCTTGAGATTGCAAATGCTAATAGTCATAAAAGTATGTCAGAGACAACTTCAAATTTCCATATATTTTGGATTAATGTCCAGGCAAGCATATCCTGAGTTTGCCACAAAAGCACTGAAAAGTCTGTTTACATTTCTGATACCTTACATGTGCAAAGCAGCATTTCATGCAGCAAGAGCTGTCAAAATGAGATCATGGAACAGACCAGGCACAAGCTGCATGCTTCGGGCATCAGTGTCTCCTGTTACTTCCCACTGGGACCTCCTAAGTACAGGAAGGCAGCTTGGGTGCCCCACTGATTCTGCACTGCAGAAAATGTCCTCAACTCTCCTTGTCTGTGGAAAAATTTTCTTCCATGAAACCAGCCCCTGGCACCAAAATG